TAACTGTAAATGCGTTGCCACATCTGGCAACTAAAATGGAATGCCTCATATTTTGCCTTTATTCTGGGAAGACAGCAGAGTTACATTACGTTCGGCAACAGATATTTTTTTATAGGATAGGGTGACAAACGAGCACACAGTCCACCTGGTGGTAAGTGGTTGCTGTGACCTATAGACGTCTACATTTATCCTCAATAAAGAATCAAAATGCAGATGCGTCGTCACCCGTTAAGACTAAGATGGAATGCCTCGTTTCCAGTAAAAGTATCTCCGGTTCTCTACACACACCATACGAAACACAGCAGTGTCGAGTTGCCATTTTACGCTGGTATTTTGTGAGAGCGTGGTCATTCCCCAGTCGAGCCGACCCATTCGTGCTATAGCTATACTACTAATATAGCTACAGCGTGGCTCTACCACGTATATAATACTACGCTAATACGAGGGGAGGTCAAAAAGTTCGTGGAATGGTGGGGTTGGCGAGGGTGAGTTTACTCATCCAGGTAGGAGCTACTTGAGTGACTCATTGTTAGTATATATAGCAAGTTTCAGCCTAATTCGTTGATTAGCTTTTGAGTTATCAACGAGTAAACAAGTTAATCGGGAAGAAACTAGAGCCACTATGGAGAAAATTGAATATCGCGCCATGGTTAAGTTTCTCATCAAACAAGGAAGGACACCTCAAACCATTTTTCAAGAGATGTCGCTGTTTACGGGAACTCCGCTCCTGGAAAAATCATGATTTATAAATGGCACGCCCTTTTAAAACCAGGGAGGGGCTCCCTTGAAGACAACGCCCGACCTGGACGGCAGATTAAGGCTACCACGCCAGAAATAATCGAAAAAGTATGACATATGAAGGATGACAACGCATCTGCGTTTTGATTCTTAGTCGAAGAGAAATGTAGATGTCTATAGATCACAGTACCCACTCACCATCAGATGGAATATCGCTCGTTAATTTGTCCCCTTTATTCTATAATATATCGTGTGTTTTTATTCACATTGTTTATCAATCATTAGACCCGACCTTATCGAAACAGTTGATGCGTGTCGTGTTTGAGTACAAATTGTTTTCTTACTTGTAAAGTCAATATTGAGTTCGTTCATTACCAAGTGCTTGCTGCATGCCGTTTCTGTTGTGATGTTTCTATTATATAGGATTGTTCAATAATCTATTTCTAGTGGATCATTATTGACTTCTTTAATTAGTGTTATTTAGATCACTGCTAGTTGTGTGGTGGCGTCACCAGTAAGAGAATTTCATTCCATTCGTTCACGCCATTTCGTCCAGGGGTTATCGTAGGAGACGACCATGGGATATGGGATGCTAAAGGGATTTTATATCTTTCTAAAGATGGTGGTTAAACTATCTGGTTGTCGTCTAGACCGGCGGCGGCAGGATGGGACATAGATGCGATACGTCTGGTACATTAATCTCAATCCAATTGCCAGGCGTGGCGATTCACGCGAATCCTACCTACAACTGGAGATACCTATGTCTCAATTAAATGACATAGTGTAACAAAAAAACTTCACCCCAGTTTCAACTAGCGACATCTGGTGTGCGAAAGATTATTAGACCTCATTGATTGAAAAATTAATGGAACATTTAATATACCTAATGGAAAAGATTATTGTCGTGAATAGTACAAATTTAATTATTTTATAAAAAAGAATAATTTGTATTTTATAATAAATAATAGCTATAATTATTCCCTCATTAAATCTTCTAATGAAACGTTGGCTTTTGTTACATGAAGGGAGGTAATGGGGTGACTCTAAGGCTGCGCTTCCACCAGAGATGTGCGAGGTAGCTAGGTCGTGTAAGGATGCGTAGCGATGCTGTGGAACGGTGCGCAGATGAGCGGTGTGAGGATGTGTATAATTGTATCTATGGCTGTTGTGAAAAAAAAGTTTCAAAGTTCAATTTTACAAAGAGATATTATCATAAACGGGAATGTTTTAAATCATTTTCAATTGGAATGTAGTTAGTTTTATTTAACCTCGCAACACATCCCCCGCACACATCTCTAGCATACATCCTTCCCTTGATTTGTATGTACAAAAACGTCGCTCCGCTGAGCCGTTTCCACTAGAGCTGTGCTGAGCGAGGCTACGTAAATGAAGTGATTCTTTTGGTTCTTAACAAATAAATTCCTCGCTACGCATCCCCGCACATCTCTGGTGGAAACGTAAATTAAATTTATAAATTTAGAAAGTGCACTTGACGCTTAACCTATTCATTATCTTTGAAATCGTTGTTTCATTCAGTTGTGTTTAGATATAATCTGTATAATGTTATCGACACAAACACTCAAATGAACAGCCTTTGTGAACACAATTCTGGGCAGTCTTACCAAGAATGCTAGTTACCTAGAGCGTGTGTGTGTTATCATAATGGGTCCGATTATCCAAAGTCAAAATTTTAATTACGTATTAGCACTGAAGGATAACCAGATCAAACAGAGAAATAAGCTATTGAAAAAAATCATTTGGTCACACCAACAGTGCCGACCACAATTTTTTTTTTCTATTTATAGTTAGAAGACGCTGTTACCTCCTGGCCTGTTTCCCTCTGTCGTCTCTTACGACACGCATGGGACGGTATGGGGTAGTGGATATTCATACACCGCCACTACACGGTTTCATAAAATAAAGATAAAAGGTCATCGGTTTGTGAGAAGCCAAAAAATTTCAAATTATTCAGAGGTCATCTTATATAACGGACGAAATGATGAAAATATGCATGCTGCGCCGCGGGATTTATGGACTGCTAGATTTAGATTTAGCCTTATGGTTAACATCGCCTCTGCATTTTTAAAAATATTATTTTAACTACATTATGTTATGTTATGTTATACACTTGCGTATCCACTAAAGAAAGGCGTAATTTCTAATAATTTTAATTCTATTACTTTAGCGTAGTTCACCGGACCTAGGACATAGACCTCTCACGCCTTGCGTCGCCTTATTTCGCTATAACGAACATACTTCGCAGGAGCGTTAGTTATTACGATGGCTGGTATTCTTACTAAGGTTATGCTGCTGTTCAACGCCTGTGTGTGGTGTTAAGTGAGGAAAATCGGGAGATAAAAAAAGGTAGTGAGATATAGTTGGATGACATTATGATGGAATTAATTAATGGTAAATCTGGAAGCTGTGGTCTCAAAACTATATATCTTTGTGTAGAAGTTGTAAAATTTCATTCTAATTTTATCATCTCTTTGGTCTATTGCCTCTTCCTATATTCGGTTAGTACTTTACTACATATTTGTTTGTTTATTTGCATCAAAGTTAGTCTTTATTGGCCCGGCGACCACTAGCCTGTGATAGCCGCAGATAACCTCAGTAAGGTCGCCCGTCTTGCACTCAGTGGAGAGTTGTGACTCTTCTAGATTGTTTTATATGTTCTTTTTATGATGATAACCTGTTAACCTTTTCGGTGCGTTGTAAGTCTTTCGCTACGTTAGGGGTTTGATAATGCAATTCAATTCTATTGTTCTTATGTCAATAGTTTTGTGATATATGATAATTAATTTCATTCATTAATTGAATTCTATTTACTATTATAATTGGTGTTGGTATTGTGTTGTGGTTTCTCGGATATTAAATAAAACTTTTATAGCGATGATCTATATATTGTTAGTAGTATACCACAAAAAATAACATAGTACAAGACCACAAGTTGTTTCACAGCAAGTTTTTTGAGAAATGTAAAGATGTGATTAACGAAAAAAGAAGTGAAAACTGGTCTCGAGGTGTGCTTCTTTTGCACGACAACGCGCCCGTTTACAAGTCATGTTGCGATTGCTTCCTTACACAAGTGCGGTTCCGAAACTTTAAACCACCCTCTCTAAAGTCCAGATTATTATTTGTTCCCAAATATGGAAAAAGAGCTTCGGGGAAGGAAATTTACAGATGAGGAACAAGTGAAGAAGAAGGTTTACACAAAACATTTTTTTGGAACGCACACACGCTTAGCGGTTGCTATGTCTTATACCAGCATTATTTGTATCTGTGAGTTACCAGTTAATTAATTTATCCCGATAAAATGGGGAAAAACTGTAAAATTATATCATGTTAATAAAATCATAAATTATAATATTTTAATATGGTGCTTTCAATTGCGTGTTTAGTTATCTGTTGAATTAGAATTAGTATGTTTTGTATAGAAAAATATAATCAAATAAAAATCAATTACGTATTTACAAATTTTATTATTTAATGTATGGTGTCAACTTATAAAAATACTAGAGGTAGGTCGGTGGCTTTGCCTGCGTCGTAGTTAAATAATTTATCCTAAGGTATATCCTAAAAACCATGTATCCAAATGGTCAAAATTTTGACATTTATCATACAATACTTTTTAGGAATGCTATAACAGAGAAAAAATAAAGAAAAACATATTTTAGACTAAAAAAATACCCGGCTGCGCGGAAGCTTGCTAAACAAAAACAATCGGTTCATCTGTTTAGGCTGTAGGCTTAGCCAAACAGTTTTTGAAACATACATACTCATACCTTCCTTGATGTACTTACTTCTTCTGGTGTAGTCGGGTAAAAATGAATAATACACCATTTAAGAAAATAGAAAACTATATGGGGAAACTCGTAGTTCAAGGACTGGCAATACCAAAAAATGACGTGTATATTTTGTGAAAAATTATCAATTTATTAGTTTTGTTTTCATCAATTACTATTAGTTTTGAGTTACTTACCAGTGGTAGGAGATTTTGTTAGTTGTTTGTAAACGCCCTTTGAAATTTCTACAGATTTTGATCGCGCAACTTGTCATTTTCATCAAAATAATCTAACGCAAAAGCCGTGCGTGTGTATCTCTTGGCGTTACAATTGACATTGAAGAGCGGGGAGAAATTTAGAGGCTTACTGTTAGCCTATATTTTTTACGACGCTTTTGAGTCGCCGTTACTCGTATCTAGAGACTAAATGTTGTAAGGTAGTATGATAGTGCGTGTATAGAAGGAAGGTTTGGCGCAGGCCCGCGGCGTGGCGGCGCACGAGCGCGTGTACACGCTGCGCGCGCGGCCGCCGCGGCCGCCGTCGCTGCTGCCGCCGTCGCCGCTCAGCCTGGCGTCGTCGGGCGACAAGTCGCTGGCGGCGGCGGCGCGCTCGCCCTCGCCGCCCGCGCCCGCGCCCGCCGCGCCGCTCGCCACGCTCGCCCCGCACACCGCCAGCTTCGTGTGCTACGTGTGCGGCGTGCCGGCGCCCAGCAGCCAGCTGCGCCTCGTCTACTGCTGCGCCAACCCCGAGCGCGAGCCCTACTACCCCTTCATCACCGCGCTCAAGCCGCACCCCGACGCGAGCCCCATCAGCCCGCAGGGTCAGTACAATACTCCTACATTCAATATACATTCAATATACATTACTATTACTACACGCGCAACGAATACTACACCCAATACCAAATATTCTGCGGCCTTCCTGGCCGAATAGGCTTTAAGAAATTAGACAAAAGTTAATTCAGCCGAGAAAAAAGTAGTGTTTATTCAGAGCGTCTTTTCTCTGAAGCTGGGGGAGAACTACTGCCTGAAAATTCACAAAATTATTCTTTCTGCACCGTAATATTCCACTTCTAAATTTTAATTACGATAAAATTTAAGTGCATTGACATCTATTTGAAGATTTGTTGTTACTTTTTTCAATTCTAAAGTTAATTATGTATCCATGACTACTTTAACGATTCCAAGAAAAATACATTATTATAAAATAAATCAATATTTTCATTTTACCAATTACCTGACTACAACAAAATATTTTACTTAAGTATTTGATATTCCGAATAGGCCGAATACCGAATAATAGCCAAATATTCTCATAATTATTACATAATCTTCTAATAATTATTACATAATACTTATTGAAAGTATTTTTTTTATTTCCCCACTGGTTCAGAAAATATATATAATATAGCACGAACCCCAGCGAGATTATATTTTTCAAACATACTCGTAATATGTAACTTCAAAATAATTTTGTACAATTTTAATATGAATTTTAATTAAACCAGTATGGTGGCGGTCACCTCAGTCAAAGGGGTCATTTTCATATAAAAATATTGTATAATATGATTTTTTCTGCTAATTTATGTCATTAGAATAAAGTAAAAATTAGGTATTGCAATTGGAAAGCGAAACTAATTAATTCAAGAATTTTTAGTGACTATAATTCCAGAGGTTTTTACATGTCGTAGGAGAGAAAAATTGTTATTCATTACAGTTTTAAAAATTCCCCATTATGTGTTATTACAAAAGATCAGCCTCATTGAAACTTTTACAAAATATTCAAATATTTAAAATACTTATGATGTATCTGTGTAATCTAAATAAATACGAGGAAAATGATAGAGGTTTGCAGTTGTGCGCACATCACGAAAAAATTACTGGATAGATTTCAATTAGGTTATTTAAGTTTTAAGAAATAATGTTTTTTTTTTAGCAAAGTATAGTTTTGCTTGCGATCTTTTTGATGTTTTTTCCTTTCCACATACGAAAACTTTGTTAATGTAGTAACGCAACGTGATGCAAGGCGGACGAAGTCGTAGGTATCAGCTAATTCTAAATAATATTGAAAAAAGATTTTTTTTCAACTGTGTTACGACTTTCTCACAGTTTAAGTACATTTATAACTTTCACAACCATTTAAAAGGTTTAATTTTAGAAATATATATTTAATAGAAATATTAGCTTGGTCGTTTATAACTTAAAATGCATAATAAGCAGGCGATATTCACTTATCCACTTGACATCGATTTAATTACTATATTGCCTCATGTATTAATTATCATTTGATAGCTGGCATTCATAAAACTAAATAGCTCTAGATATTTAGAACTATTATTGTTTTTGGTTAGACTACCAGTTAATAAAAAAAAAAACCTTGTTTTTTTTTTGTAACGGGTACTACTAGTATTGATACTGCTAATATAAATTGAAAGTTTGATTATTATTTTAATTGATACAAAATGCAATCCCTTAATGTTAGAACATGAACATAATATTTGAATGGAGCGGGTAATGGACGCGTGAACAGCGTTCGAACGCTCCATGACTACTTGTGTGTGTTTAGGAATGGTACAAATATGTGCCTCGTGCTACAAGAGCATCCCGCACAAATACCCCGCGTACGGCGAGAACGGAGAGCCCAACGCCGCGCACAACAACACGCATACAAACAATATTAGGTGAGTCCTAACATAGGTCGTATTGTAAATATTTTTGTGGTGAAAACTTCTTTAGAATCATTGTGATTTGAAACTACATGAAACGAAAAAGCGTCACTAAAAAGAGACAAACATATCTATAGGATTTAGCCTGCGAGAGAATGAGATAGAATACAGTATACAGAATTTATTATAAATTTATTTATATTTTAATTATTTATGCCCTTCAGTTATCTACTATCTCTGCATTCGTCTCATCTTCTCGAGTTTAGTTTTCTGAAGGTTTCACTTGTACCGCATGTGAACTGTTATAGATATCTACATTTATCCTCGTTTGTGAATCAAAATGCAGAAGCTTTGTCACCCGTGAGGACTAAGATAGAATGCCTCCCTTTCCAGTGTGTGTGTTTTTAAAATGTTTAATATATATTCTTACATCATCTTACATTACCTTCTTATATAAGACTAGAAGTTCTTCTAGTCTTATATAAGACTATGCCATTTTCGCATTACGCCAATTGTGCGAAAAGTACAAGCGCGTGCATAAAGATCTGCACATGATTTTTGTCGACCTTGAAAAGGCGTACGATCGGGTTCCCCGTGAGGTCTTGTGGTGGGCGTTAAAGAGGAAAGGTATGCCTGGGAAGTATGTGAGGTTGGTCCGTGCTATGTACAGAGCATCCCGTACATGTGTACGATCTGCCGCGGGAACTACGGGCAGTATCGATGTGGCGGTAGGGCTGCACCAAGGGTCGGCACTGAGCCCTTACCTCTTCCTACTGATTATGGACGCTTTGACGTCGGACCTGCAGGATGAGGCACCCTGGTGCATGCTCTTTGCCGATGACATCGTGCTTGTCGGGGAAGAAGGCATCGAGGTACAGAGCAGACTGACGGGGTGGCAACGGAGGCTGGAAAGTGTTGGCCTGAAGATTAGCAGATCCAAAACCGAATATCTGTGCTGTGATTTCGGCGGTCTTTCCAGTCCTGTACCCATGTCGTTGGATGGCGCTACACTGACTATCTGCTCAGATGTCAAGTACCTCGGTTCCCTCATTCAAGGCGACGGCGGAATAGATAGAGCTGTGCAGCATAGGATTAACGCAGGGTGGATGAAATGGCGACAGGTCACAGCCACAACGTGCGATCCCCGAATGCCAATAAGGCTGAAGGGGAAAATTTACAAATCGATCATCCGACCTGTCGTCATGTATGGAAGTGAATGCTGGGCCGTCAAGAAGAAGGATGAAAATAGACTGCATGCGAATGAAATGAGAATGTTACGATGGATGTGTGGTGTGACAAGGATGGATAAGATAAGGAATGAGTATATAAGAGGAAGCCTGAAAGTAGCGCCAGTGGTAGAAAAGGTGAGAGGAAGCAGATTGGCATGGTTTGGGCATGTGATGCGGAGGAATGAAAGTCATGTCACAAAACGAGTGTTGAATATGAATGTGGAGGGACACACGGGCAGAGGAAGGCCGAATAAAAGATGGATCGATTATGTGAAGAGTGATATGAGAATGAAAGGAGTAAGTATGGAAATGACGGCTGATAGAGAGGAATGGAACAAAAAGATTTACTGCGCCGACCCCAGATAATGGGAAATGGTTTAGAGAATGATGATGATAAGACTAGAAGTTCTTAATTTGTATTTAAAAAAAAAAATAACCATCATAGCACTTAAAACGGAATTATTAAATATGTATAATCCATTGAGACGGTTGCTATAAACAGTATTTTTATATCGAATTTTTGTCGTTAATATTATAAAGGAAAAAACGCTGAGGTCCTAACACATTACCCTGCGCTAATCTTGTATTAATATTTTTATTCAAAGTTCTATTATTTATTATACAGTTTTATGTTACAGAATTTCATGAAATTTAATAACATTTATATATTATAGTTACACTTATTGTTTTTTTCTAAATTAAATTGGGGCTATGGGAAATAACGTAAAGATCTGTCGCAGGTTTAAGCCATACGATATGAAGAGTTCTAGTTCCAGTCAATCAAATAAGCGGCCCTCTAACGCGCTCTCGAGTAGTCCACAGAGCCAAATTATCTCCGGGGAGAATGGCATGGGATTGTACAGGTGAATGCAGCCGATAGTACATTTTGAAATAATTTTATTTACCACTCTTCCATTTTATCTGATTTCTAAATTTGTTATTCGGATATATTTAACTACTTGTTTTCTAATATCGCGATTGAAAGGAATTTTAAAAAGCGAATAGTAACAACTCAATTGTGTTTATTTTAACATGGTTTCGAATTTTTAATTTCTTGTGTGAGTTGTGTTGATAAGAAGCTTTGTGGGTTATCATAACACAAATGTTTACGTATTATGATGTTAGTATAAGAAAATATGTCTATGGTTACTTAGCTTACTCGCGTAGTTTGCAATAATCGACTAAGGGAAGAAAGAAATGAGACCGACAGAAGTTGTAAGACGTCAGTCAGGATTTACGATTGCTAAGATGTATATAATCACGTACGATTGTGGGCATTTTGCTTTTTTGTAGCGTTTGACCAAGAATCGGAAAGTAATTTTAATATCTGCTTGGAATTAGTAATTTCTGTTAAATAAATTTATTAAGTTATTTTAGGAATTGTTACGATTATAATAATAAATTTGTATGCGTCAAGATATTACCTAAGTATATTTAACGTGATAAAAAGTAATAGTAAAATAGATACTATGGTTTGAGATGTGTTTTCCTAGTTTTTATATTTAATTAATTTTCAGTTTTCAAATAGTCTGTTGCTAGGTTGAGGTTATTTTATAGCGATATAGTCTTACATTGGCGATCGAACGGGCAGACATCTCACAAATCTTACGTCACTTTACGTGTTTGGGTGTCTCTATTTTCGTTATAGTGAAGCGTTAAAATGTTTGCGTTGACGTGGTCAGGTGCTACGTATGCGCGGGCCTGTTCCCGCAGCAGTCGATGGAGTGGCTGTCGACGACCGCGGAGTACATGAACTCGCACGCGATGCACTTCCCGTGCCTGGTGTCGGCGGGCGCGGGTGGCGGGGGCGCGGGCGGGGGCGGGGCGCGCGGCGGGCGCGTGCTGGCGTGCTCGCGCTGCGTGCGGCACCTGGCGCGCCAGTGGGAGCTCATGGACGCGGAGCGCGTGCCGCTCGAGCACCGCAGGTACGCACACACGCGCACACGCACACACGCTTGTCACTCGTCGTGTCGCTCGAGAAACGCAGTTATACATGCGTAACACGTGCACGTACACATACACGACACCAACCACCACGCACTCATGTGCACTTACAGCCGTTCACGCCTACACAATCTCAACCGCTAATTCTACGCTCAAATCACTGCACAACCTGCGCAACATCAAAATACTAATAATTTGTATTTTAGAACAAATACTAAAATACCAATTATTAGTTTTTTAATATAATACCCACACTTTTGACACTACTTTCTACCCTTTATCACATGAGCTCGTTTGTTACACATCACCACTATGATAATTACCAACAATCCAAGTTATCGTCGTAGTCTAAAACCAGTCAAGCGTTTTCACGTCATCATCCTATTTGCCATATGTCTTTTGTCCAGATGATAAAAAAGGTATATATTATGTGGCGTTATATCATATATAACGCTAAACTTTAAAACAGAACGGCGGGAGCTGGGATGCAACTATCAAAGAATAACCAACTTGATAAATTTAATTCTTGGATCAAGTTTTTGACGATGTTCCTTTCCCATTTTTAAAAAATAAATACGGAAGCATTATACTAAATTAATAACAATTACATTGGTAATTTTGTCTCAGAAGCAGAGTACATAATATTAAGTAATTATGGTGCTTCACTTGTACATTTTTATGAAATACTACTGGTGTACCTCAAGGTTCCCATATTGGTCTCGTACTGTTTCAAATCTTTGTTAGTGAAATAAATTTATATCATTGTTGTGAGGTTTTTCTGTTAAATGGTAATAAGATATTAAGTTGATATTATGATTTGCCGCATAGATCGTGATTTATTTTATATATTATTACATTAAAAACAATTTAGATTTATCTAATGTAAGCTGTGCATATAAAACAGATTAATCTTTAAAATATCATAACCAGATCTATGATATAATATTTTAAAGATTATTTTATCGTATCGATTTTCGTTCATTTCTTTTCCTAAACACTACTTATTTGGCTGAGCTTTTGCTGATTGCTTTATTGTCTGTTCTTTTCAGGTACAACATCCCATCGCCGCTGCCATCAAATTCATCGATGAATGGCGAGCGAGTGATACCCACCCCACCTTCAACCACGTCGGATAGGACCGTTGCCAGTAATAGTGGTGAGTTAAACTAGAGCTTAAAATAAAATGAAGAACTGAAATACTATAATTAATTAATTTTCCTTGAAAGGCTATGGGATCCACGTTTCAAAAAGAGCTTTTGTGGTTTCATTTGTAGTAATTTACTGATTGACGTTGCAATATGATTAGGTTAACAAGTAACAATGTAGCTGATGACAATACAAGAATTGTCGATAACAAAATGACTATTCCATAATACGTCGGATGCCACGAAATATTATTGGTATTTAGTCAAATTTTACGACATCCTCGAGAAAAATAAGCAAATAAGAAATAAGAGAAAGAAAGCAGAGCGGTTTATTAGCGCAGTGGCTAAACGTTTAGCTGAAGGAATTGAACCCGCAATTTTAGGCTGAATAAGTGTTTTGTATGCCCTTTCATTTTTTTTTTGTTAAAGAAACCTAATCTCCACACTAGGATTTTTCCTTGTATTGCGGGGTTCAGTTTTCCATACATAAAATTCACAAAAACACATCTAGACCCGGAATAATTATTTTGAGGAAATACAAATACTAGTTCCGTGCGGGATTCGAACCCGCGGCCGTTAATGCTGCAACTCATTCCTAAGCTACTGCGCCACATAGTAGACAGAATTTACCATATCACCACTCTTAGCAGGTGAATAAGTAATCGCAGTAACAGGTGTCTCCAACTTTAAATCTGCTTCCTGTTCTTCGGTTCGTGTATTTTACATCCGTCAGGCCATGAATGTTTTTTAGACATTGTTTATGATCAATTATTATGACTTTCACATGACAAGGTTGGGTGATGGATTATTTTATACCACCACTACACGAATATTGGCGCTACGCATCGGCTTCTGTCACTTGATAACAGTTTTCAGTGCGCGACTTGGTATTTAATTCACCTCTTTTAATGGAATTCTGTTATAGAATCGCTGCTGCTATCTTATGGTCCTAGCATAAATGGGTCGGCTCGAACGGGAAATAACCACGCTCTCACAGAATACCAATGTAAATACCAATGCTTAATGCTAGGCCGTGTTTCGTATGGTGAGTGTAGAGAACCGGAGACCCTTTTTACTAGAAACGAGACGTTCCATCTTAGTCCTCAGGGGTGACAACACAACTGCTTTTGATTCTTAACCGAGATGTAGATTTATATGGGCCACAGCAGCACCACTTACCACCAGGTGGACTGCTTGTGCATAGGTGATGAAAATATTTGTAACGTGCGAATTTGATTGTTTTGCAGTTTGTACGTCAATATATTGCTTCCTTTGCGGGTTGCATTCGGATTTCACGCTGGCGCGGATATTGTACGGCCAACCTCAGGGCAACGCGCCCTACTTCCCTTGTTTATTGACTCATCAGGTATAATTAATAACATTTTTTTAATTGTTTTCAGTATCATCTTTTTTGTGAATAAGTGATTTATAATCTTAAACTGTATTTGGCTTGTTTTTCTTTTAGTTTTTGATAAAATATTGTTGTTTTAAATTATTATATTTTAACTTCTTGAACAATTTTGATGCATTATTTATCTTATGTGTTTCTGTTTCAGAGTCACCCCAACGCTGAGCAGTTAAGGGAAAACGGCTCGGCTCTAGTCTGCACTTTTTGTTACCATTCACTGCTAAGTCAGTGGAGGAGGTATGTCCTGTTTCACTAATATAGTAACTTTTATTGCCTTTTCCTATTTATGAAACAATATATTTTATTCAAATATAATTTAATGTTGGATTGTACATGCATTAATTTAACAAAAGCCATAAAATATTACTTTAGATTTAAAATCGTTGTAGTTAGAAATTTTAGGGCCTTGTTTTTATTATCTTTAGCTTACTTTAAATTCCTAACATTTTAAGTAGTTTGCAGTCCTCGTATTAAAACGTGTGTTGTGGGTTGTAAAACAAGCTAAAATAATTCCAATAAAGTCTGTAAAAAAAAGTTAAAATTGCCGTAGGAAATGGAATAGTTTTTCATTTTTATTAGAAGTAAGAAAAGAAAACACAGCCCACATCATGATAAGTGAATGCTGTGAACCATAGACTCCTTCGTTGCACCAGCGTTAAACTGCTATTTCACGCTTAAACTGTAAACATGTAAAAAAACACCCTACTAATTTCACTAACGCACATCGGAACAACCTTACTTACGTTACCATTTACATCATCTGGACGCTTGGCGGTCCACCACTATGTAATTTACTAGGAGTTTTCCTTCTCGCACGACTACTTTGTGGAATCGCTTACTACCGGCGATTTTTCGAGACCGATACGACTTAGAGACCTTTGAGAAACGAACTTACTCCTATTTAAAAGACCGATAACGTACCTGCAAACCTCGTGTTTCAGTTGTTCGTGGGCGGTGATCGAAACTTTCCATCAGATGAGCCGTATGCTCGTTTGCCCCCTCTTCTATAAAAAAAAAAAAAACTTACTATGAATAGCCTTGTGATACTTCATGAACAGCCTTCAATCTTGAGTTAGTGTCTTGCAATATCACACAAAGAGAATATAAACGACGCCGAATTAGCAACGCTGATAATAAAACTGAAATCGTCTCTGAGAATGCTATTAATAAGCTCACAACAATATTGGGAACTTTTGTAAACACCCAAAACACTAGATTAGACAATATAGAGAAAAAACTAACTTTTAAAAATCAAAATATAATCATCCAACAAACCAATTCTGAAATAGAAAATCCATTAACTTTGTCTCAGATTGAATAGATAATTAACAAAAAAAAAACTCCAATATTGAAGGGCTCGCAAAGCCCCAGAGTTACAAATCAACATAAAAAATACCAAATGCGATAACTTGAGGAGAAACATTCGTTAGACGAGTATTGAGATACGTAATGTTCCGAAAATAAGGGATGTAGAAAGAAGGATGTTTTGACTTGATACTGTTTCAAAATTACATGGGCATCATCATTGAACAGAACTTATGTTTTAGGCCTCACATTAAGCTACTTATGGCTCGTGCATGTAAACACATATACGTTTTAGAACACTTTCGTATTTTTTTTAATAGAGTAAGATTGACATACTAGTATTCCTTTCACATGATAGTAAGTGGTGAATGGCCAATATACATTTACATCTGTCTTCGATTAACAATCAAAAAGATGGATACGTTATTATCCTTGAGGACTAAAATGGAATGCACTGTTTCCTGTAAAAAGGGTCTTACAAACACACACGCGCGCACACTCAAACCATACACGGATACGCACATGCATGCAGACAAATACACGTACATACATACACACACACGCACGCACTCATGCCTGTCATCTCTACAAGCATCACTTGTAAAACCCCTAATATTTAGATGTCTGTGATGATGGCCCGATCCCAGTAGAGCCTACCGCGGTCGTATTCGAGCACGGCAAGAATGGCTGATCTCGTATCACACAGACAAAACCCATGGTTTCCCTAAAGAGGTCATCGAAACGTAGTCAGTGGAGGGATAATGTAGACTTGTAGAATTTTCCGTTGAGCTCCTTCCTTCTATTCTATACGATCTCCAGGTCGCAAATGCTCTGTATTGCCGTTTGCTAGTTGGCTTAAAATAGAGGGGTTTATTACATGAAATTACGTTCGTGTAGAATAGATCATCCGATCTCTTCAGGAAGTAAGTACGCTGCATATTTTGCGATTATGCATGGCGAGAACTCTTAATAAGCCACACCCAGCATGTTTTCGTGGCAGATACAGCTTCATTATCGACGATTTCGGATGATGCATCCTGTGAGACGTCATAACAGTACGGACATATCCAGGGCTTTAAGATTGGTTTGCGACCACCTGAGTATTCCAGACATATATGAGAACGGGCATGACCAACATGATTATGTATAGTTTGTACGCAGGCGTAACATAAAGTCTATGATCGAGCTATGAAGACTGTAATTGTATGCGTTTTCTTTATAGGATAGGGTGACAAACGAGCACACATTCCACCTAAAGGTAAGTGTTGTTGCGACCTGTAGACATCTCCATGTATCCTCAATAAAGAATCAAAATGCAGATGCGTTGTCACTCGTGAGGAAAAGATGGAATGCCTCTTTTCCGGTAAAAAAGTTCTCCGAATCTCAGCTCTCTACACTCACCATACGTAACAGTGGTGTTAAGCTGCTATTTTACGCAACTATACTACTAACATAGCTGCAGCATGGGTGTACCACGTATAAAATGCGTATGGGTGGGTGTGCAGGTACGAGGCGCTGGGCGGGTACCCGGCGGAGCGGCGCGTGTACAACACGCACGACTACCACTGCCACCTGTGCGGCATCAAGACCTACCGGAAGCGAGTGCGGGCGCTGCCCATCAAGGTACACACGCACCACTACTCGTGCCTCCCAACTATACCTGCCAAATAGGACAGCTAATGGTCAATCAACCCACACAGACTCCTTGACATAAAAGTAGTTTAACCATTAAATATTTTTTTATTTTCTACTTTATACTACAGTTGACAATCCCTAAACAGTTTTTACACAAAAAATAACTAACTTACAATTTTCTGTTTTTTATTGCATCTGAATTAGTATCAAAAATAAAAAATAGCCTTTTTTTATTCGTATTTAATTAGAAACAAATTATTTATGGATTTTATCCGTAGATATTATACAAAATACGAATAATATAAACCAGTTCTTTTTGATGGTGTCAATTACCAAATTATTTGATACTATACTGACGCGGCATAGCGACACCTCCGTACCACCTGTAGACTATAACTCCATCTGATGGTAAGAAGTGATGTAACCCCACCCTAGGTGTGCAAAAAAGCACGGTGTTAGCGTAATGTAGTCTTTTCAATATTTTACCTTGTACACATAAAGATTGTGATTAGACAGAAAGCCAGATTTTGGCAAACTATTCCATTAATATAATACCATATCTTTTGTTGCAGGAATTTCCATTTTTAGTTCAAAGGCGGAATGAAAATTCATTATTATTAGAAAATGGCGACTACGCAGTAGTATGTTTAGACTGTTACGAAAGTTTAAGGTGAGTGCGATACTATTTATTGTATTTTTTCTTTAATTAACTTACTGCTCTAAAACTTTATCGTAGTATTTATAGTATCAACAGTGTAAGCAAAAGAAATTTCTATCGTTAATTACTCTTTAGTTATACTCAACCAAATATAAGAAATACCTTTTGACGTTTCACATTAACCATTCCGCAATAACTATATACAAGCGTACTCACACGATTTAAAATAACCTTTTACATAAATCCAAAGAACTATGAAGTTATCTATATTTCCTTACAACATGTATAGTTCTTTATCACTAATTTCTATTCTAATCATTCAAACAATGCTAATTAATTTCATAAATTACATAAATCATGAATCAAACAAGTCTATTTCTTTATAACTTCGGTGAATCCCACTGTGACTAAGTTACAAGTAAATTTAGAAGATGCCAGCTTGTACAATGGTACTCGTAGTATAATCATTAATTATTTAGAGACATGAATGCAGAGAATAACACTTTTATGGGAAATTAAATATATAACCAATTGAGACAACATTACTCTAGAAATCAGCACTAAGCAATAAATATGAAAAATCTGATTAATTTTGTGTTATCTGTTTCTAATTTCTTCTGGTATTTATCTAAATAAAACTGTAAATGCTTACAAACTCTTAAGAATAGATATCGCGATACCCCTTAAGACTCGAATTTTGTAGGTACCGATTTTACATTTAGAATGTCTAGCTCAATAAAGGTGACAGCTGTCAAAAGGTATTTCTTAGATTTGGTGGAGTATAGTCACGGAGCAAATACAAAGAGGAGGTGTTGTAATAAGATTTCACTGCGCGGTGAGGGGATGTTAAGCCCCACCCACTTTACTACTTTTCATCTACCGATAAATAGTAAAACTACACGCATCGCTCCATATCGATGTTGCAATGTTATTTAGCTACCTTGACGATAGATGGCGGCCTTTTCACAAAGTGATTATAGAAATTATAAAAATAATATTTTGGCGATTAAAAATTCTTTAGAACTGAATCTAAAACAAATTTCAACACCTTCGTATGATTATTTTACTAATACTGAGCTCTACGTACCTTTATATATTTAGTTCCCATGACACAAATTTTCGCCACCTAGTGTCGATTATTAAATATATTACATTTGAAAGCCGATGCAAATTTTTCTAGAACTTTTTTAATAAATTAGGTATAAAGTCAAGTGCGTCAACTGTAGTGTAATATTTAATAAGTTATTATTTGATTTCTCAACAAACTTGTCTAATTTTAGTTGTTATAGAATTTGTGTAGTATAATTGTAATTTATAAGTGAAGAGAGTGCAAAATTCGTGCAAATAAGACTATAAAAACAAAAAATACCTAAATGGACTGTGTACTTTCTCATAAAAGTGGTTAGTCTAAGTGAAGTATTTTAAATAATTTATGTATGGTGTATTGGGCTAACACATTATTTAATATAACATATCATGCCAATCTTCTTTAAATTCAATGATAATTAACAAGTTTTAAATAATAACCTCAATTTCTAAGAACACGCCCTGTTATATAATTGTATTATCGTATCGCACTGTGTTTAACGCCATCTGTAATTTAGTGCCAACTCAATCAGAGGTCTAGCCAATATTGGCGTAATTCCAAAAAATTGCCACAGGGAGCGTTGTATTAAATTGCTGAATTATTTCTGCCTATTAACACCGCATAATACGCTTATCATGCCTCGCACGCAATCCGCATCAGAAAAATGCGCTGCATGTACAAAATTGCTTCCAAAAATATCTTCCTACGTTGTACTGTATGCAAGGGGGCATATGACCTCGAATGTATAAATATGAGTACACAAAGATTTTATTCATTCTACATGCATGATAAAAAACGTTGCGAAAGCTGGAAATGTCCTGAATGTAAGCGTCCTAGAAGTGGAAATCTAAACACTTCAATTCACCCTGCCTTACCTCCAGAGCCTACTACAGAGGAGGCCTGTAACATTACTCGTCGAATAAAATCTTCACCATTATTAACTCACAATGACTCCATTGAAAGCGCGGAATTTGACGCCGATAGAGATGTTAGCGCTCTTATTCCTGGAGACTTTGTGGCGGAGCTGAAACAATTTTATAAAGAAATGCGTGCCATGCGGGCTGAAATGTCAACGTTCCGCTCAGTTATTTCCGATTTAACTGCCACAATTACATTACAAAATGCTCGAATCGATACACTTGAGAGCAAAATCCAAAACTTGGAAGATAAAGTTAGTGCGTCACATAGTTGTAATATATCTGACCTTGAAGATACCATTACAAACCTCAAGCTAGAAATTGAGGATCGGAACCAAGATATGCTTGCTAATGATATCGAGATAGCCAATTTCCCCGAGTTAAACAGTGAAAATCCTATTCACGTATTCCTCACAGTGTGTAAGAAGTTAGGAGTAGAGGTGGCAGAATGCGATGTAGTGAATGCACAGCGAGTGGGAGTGCCACGAGGCGCAAATGAAGGTGCTGCGACGTCACGGCCAAGACCAATTGTCGTGCGACTGTCGCGCCGCGCACACCGCGACGCGATACTGCAGGCTGCGCGTGTGCGTCGCCGCCTCTCCACTGAAGGAAGACATGGCACTGGCGGGAGCTGATGAACGTCCAGTTTTTATAAACGAGCGACTTACACGACACAATCGGCAACTTTTCCAGAGCGCTCGCGAGGCTGCCACACGTCACTCTTGGAAGTACGTATGGACGCGCGGTGGCAAAATTTTCGCTAGAAAAGAAAACGGTAAGGCACGCCACCAGCTTCGCTCTGTAATGGACCTATTTAAGGTTTTTGGGGAATGCAACGTTGGAAATACCAAGTAGTGTATAATGCTATTTGCTTAATTTATTCATTAGTTGCAATCCCCTATTTTAATTTTAATTTTAATTTACTTCATTATCTTTATAAAATTGTTATGTTATGTATAAAATATAAGATAAGTTCTATTACTGAGTTCCTTTATTTGAAATGTGTACAAATTAAGAATTTGTTATACTTATTTATTTATTTATTTTATTTATTTATTGACACACCAACAGCATAACATACAAAACATTACAATAATCTTCGTCTTATAAATAGTTTGGTATGCATGCCAATTACTGGTGCATACATCACTCTCATTAGAAGACATTAAATTAATTTAAGTTCAAAATAAATTTCAATTTACAAATTTTGAGTTGCAGCAAATTAATAAGTAAAAATCAAAAATCAAAAATCAAAAGTATAACAAAAAGAAGAATTTTAGTAGCATAAATATTAAATTACAAATCTAATTTACCAACAAAAATGTGCGGTAAGCTTTTTTTTCAGATTTGTCACTGAGTCATGAAAAATATCAAAATCTTTAATGGACGCGGAAAATCGATTGTACTCAGAACACATCCTTGATAATGGAGAATGTTTTAGAGCATTTGTTCTACTTACTGGTACAACAAGTATGTTAGTGAGAGGATTTCGTGGATATCTGTACGGGATTTTGAAATTTATTTCATTAAGCAATTCACTGCATGCCATCTGTCCTGACAACAGCTTTTTGAGGAATGTTATATCTAATATTATGCGGCGATTATAAAGTGACATCATTTTAAAGTGTTTCAGCCGCAAGTCATAGGTGGCCTTATGAGAGATGCCGGAAGTGTGATATGTCAGGTATCTAGTAAAGGATCTTTGTAGTCTCTCCAGACGTTGAGATGGTGCCGCGTATTGGGGACTCCACACAACTGATGCAAATTCTAGTTTGCTGCGAACCAGTGAGTTATAAAGGATTATTTTGGTTTGAGGAGAAACAAATCCTTTGGTATTTCTTTTAAGGAAACCTAACATCCTGGCCGCTTCTTTTACAGTTTTGTCCATGTGCACTTTGAATTTCAATTTCGTGTCCATTGTTACGCCCAAATCTCGAATCTCCTTAACCTCCTGTAACGTATCTAGCTCTAATTTATACGATGATGGCAATTGAACTTTTTTCTTTGTGTACTTAATGTGGTAAGATTTCTTCGTATTAATAATCATGCCGTTCAATTTGCACCACATATTTATTCCATCGAGATCAGCTTGGATGAGCTCCACATCATTATTTGAAGTAACGGTTTTGAATATTTTTAAATCATCGGCAAAAAGTGAGTATTTACAGTAATTTATAGATGAGGTAATGTCATTTATAAACACCGAGAAGAGAACAGGGCCTAAGTGGGATCCCTGTGGTACTCCTGAACATGCAACATACTCATGTGATATGTGACCGTTCAGCACCACAAACTGAAGTCTTTTTGCTAGGTATGAATTAAACCATTCCAGTAAGGTCCCACCAATACCAGACCCGCTCAATTTATGTATAAGAAGCGAGTGACACACCTTATCAAAAGCGCTCGAGAAATCCATGTATATACAGTCTACTTGTTGGCGTCTATCTATTTCTTTACTTAGATAGGACATAAATGACACCAAGTTCGTTTTGATAGAACGTCCTTTTCGAAACCCATGTTGAAATTCTGACATCCGACTTTCCAAGTGGCGCGTGACAATTGGGCAAACAAGGGATTCAAACAGCTTAGGTATACAAGAAAGTATGGATATAGGACGGTAGTTTTTGATGTCACTGCTGTCACCCTTCTTGTACACTGGAACGATCTTAGCTTTTTTCCACAATTCAGGAAATACCCCGTCATGCAAAGATCTATTGAAAAGAAGTGACAGTGGCAGAGTAAGAGTAGGACCGCAGCGCTTTACAAAAACAGGAGGGATCTCATCCGGACCGGCACCCTTGAAGATATCTAGTTTTTTAATGGCACGTTTAATTTCATGTTCACTGAATCTAATTACACTCAAATATGGCAAACCGTGCACTGCGGACTCTAGGCTATCAGGTAATACTGTGTTACTAAACACTGATGAAAAATTTTTAGCAAATAGTTCTGCAATTTTTGTACCAGTGTTTGCAATTTCGTCATCAAGGCTCATTTCGGCAGGTATA